CCTTTTGAATCCTGTTGGGGCCCTTTTGAATCCTGTTGGGGTCCTTTTGAATCTTGTTGGGGCCCTTTTGAATCCTGATGTGGCTGAGATGTTTTCTCAAAATGCTGTTTCTTCTCTTCCTGTTTTTTTGCTTCCTAGCAAGAAACACCCACCAAGTGACATCATCTCTCCTTACCCAATCATTTACCTACAAGATAAACTGGGCAAGGGAGAAGTGTAGACAGCCAGAAATGTCTCTATCCTTTGAATTAGAGGCTGGAGCTAGGGCCTAGGTTGTTTCCATTCTCCAGACAGTAACCAAGGCATGGTTCTGAATTGCTGTGCTGTCTTACTCAGCTCATGGCCAAGAAGTGACCTAGTCTCAGCATCTATTTACTAGGTTGGAACTAGGCGTTGAAAGCAGATGTTAAAGCCAGAGAATAAAGAGCAGTTCCCGGGGCTGGAGAGATGGCTCCATAGTTACGAGTGCATGCATTACTCTTTCAGGGGACCTGCATTCCCACCACCCACATTAGCAGTTCACAACTGCCTGTTATTCAGTAGCCAGAGTTTACTAAGTATATTAAAACAGGTTTTCTGGATGTGGTGACACACTTACTATCCCAGAACTTGGAAGGTAGAGACAGGAGGATTGCCACAAGCTAGAGGTCGCCCTTTGGGTGCTAAGAATCAAACCTGGGTCCTCTGAAAGCATAGCCAGTGTTCTTCCCCACCATGCTCTCTCTCTCCAGCCCCTATTCTTATTCTTATTCTTATTAATTATGTGTATGTGGGGGGAGTATGTTGCGTGTGTTGTGCGGCTGCCTGTGGAACTGGACATACATAGGTCCTGCTGGGAGGGGAACCTAGGTCCTCTGGAAGAGCAGTGTGCACACTCAACCTCTGAGTCATCTCTCCAGCCACGGGTACACTGAGTTTTTATTAGAAGCATTTGAGCTTAGGGCTTAGAGATGGCTCATCAGTGAAGAATGTTTACTGTCCTTTCAGAGGAGCACATAAAGTTTCCAGCACCCATATCAGGCAGCTCACAACATAGTCTACATAGTAAACTCCAGCTTCAAGGAGTCTGACACCTTCTTTTGTCCTCTTAAGGGTGTGCAAGCACACATGCACACAAACAAACATACAAAAAGTAAATCTGGGGGGGCTGGAGAGATGAATCAGTAGTTAAGAGCACTGGCTGTGGTCGGACAGTGGTGGCGCACATCTTTAATCCCAGCACTTGGGAGGCAGAAGCAGGTGGATTTCTGAGTTCGAGGCCAGCCTAGTCTACAAAGTGAGTTCCAGGACAGCCAGGGCTACACAGAGAAACCCTGTCTCGAAAAAACAAAACAAAACAAAACAAAAAAAAAAAAACCACCATTGGCTGCTATTCCATGGAACTGAGGTTCAATTCCCAGCACCATATGACAGCTCACAACCATGACACCAGTCTTGAGATCCAACTTCCTCCCCTGGCACCAAGTACGTTGTATATAAACACACATGCATGCAAAACACATGTGTATAAAAATCTTCACTATACATTTTCAGGCATGGTAAAATACACCTTTAACCCCAGTACTCAAGCAGAGGGAGATAGATCTCAATGAGTGCAAGTCCAGTCTGGTCCACATAGTAAATTCCAGGCCAACTCCAGAGTTATATGTGGTAAAAGTCACTCAAAATTTTTTCACATAAAAAAGCATTTGATCTGCCAGACAGGATAGCACATGCCTGTAATCCCAGAACTTGGAGATGGAGTCAGGAAGTTTGATTATTAGGTTAGCCTGGTCTACAAAGGGCTACACAGTGAGACCTTGCTCCCCTCCCTAAGAAAATACAGTTGAAAAAGAATCGCCCAAGTTATGCCGAAAATGCTTAGAAATTTTTCCCAATATGTAAACTGGGAACTCTGATTTTATACATGGATTAAACTTACATAAACTCCAGCTCCTCATCCTCACTAGCCACGTCGCAGGGATTCAGTAGCACACAGGCTGAGGCCTGCAATATCAGACAGCACAGCTTTCCGGACATACACACACGACCCTGACTCAGTCACTGGAGGCTGAGGTAGGAGGAGCTTTTGATCCCAGAAGTTCATAGTCAACCCAGGCAGCAGAGAGAGACCTCTTCAAACACCCTCTTGGCTAGAATCCCCATTTCCACCAGCCTAAGACAGAAAAACTGAGCTAGCTTGCCTCCTACCCCAGCAGACAGCATCACAAGCTAGCAATCCACTCCTAGGGAGTCCTTCATCCTTTCCCACCCCTGATGCCCATGGACCCTGATGGACCAAGCCCCTCTCCTGCACCTGCTCTTGTTGCTGCTGAGCCATCAGCCCCTTCCTCCGTTCCAATGCCATCTGCCGACGCCGAGCCTCCCAATGGTAGGCACTACCCATGATGGTGTGGTAACAAAAAAATCCCAGCAGGGTGTGAGAGCAGGAAAAGCCCAAAATGATGGCACTGCACCCAAATGCTTCTGTTGCCTCCCACCCTAATTACACTTGCCTGTTACCCAGACACCTCACAATGTGGCCACTGTGGCCACTGTCAGGGCAACTGGGCAGCCCCCCTGAAATGTTGGAGGTGGAGGCCATTCTTACCAAGGCTCATGGGGAGCACCTATAAGTCCTCCAGAGTCCTGAGGAGGAAAAAAGATACAGTCTTTCCTCTGCCTGGGGTCTCAGTGGGCCCTGGAGACAACTTGGCAATAAAACGTATGCACTTCTCTCTTCTAGTGTCTCCCAAGAGATTGGCTGAGGGGTTTCTGGCAGTAGCATCTGATTAGTCGCACTAATGGCCCATCCTCCTCACAAGCTGTCTGGAATTACCTTTCCCAGTGCTCTCCTGTGTCGTGTCTCTCCCTGTTCTTCCAGGAACCGTTTGGATTGAGTTAAGATGAAAAAAAAATATGAACCACAACTGAGCTTCACTCTGTGTGTGTGTGTGTGTGTGTGTGTGTGTGTGTGTGTGTGTGACAGAGAGAGAGAGAGACAGGGAGGGAGGGAGGGAGAGAGAGAGAGAGAGAGAGAGAGAGAGAGAGTCTCAACTGAGCTGCTCTGTGGAGGGTGGGGGTGAGATAGCCTGGCAACTCCAGCCATCCGTAGTGGGATCAGCTGGAGTTTTAGTGTCAGACACAAGTTTAACCCAAGTTGTGTCATTAACTAAGATGAGGGAACTTGAGCAGGCCATTCAGTGTCTCAGGACCTGCCCTGTAAAGGCCACTGATGTCCCTGGGAAATGCCTGCTTTCAAAGTGGGACACTGTGAGAAGCCGGAAGAGCTGCCACAGCTTGGATGTTCAACGGAAGGGGTGCTTTGTCTTGCTGGATCTTTGTCCTTCAGTAAAAGGGTGATAATTCCCTCTCCAGCACACGAGGGGTTTGGGGGGGAGTCATCTGCATGACTAGATACTTTAAAGTGATAAGATATGAAAGATGAAAATGAGACTTGTTGCTGGGCAGTGGTGGCACACACCTTTAATCCCAGCACTTGGGAGGCAGAAGCAGGCGGATTTCTGAGTTCGAGGCCAGCCTGGTCTACAGAGTGAGTTCTAGGACAGCCAGGGCTATACAGAGAAACCCTGTCTCGGGGAAAACAAAAAAACAACAACAACAAAAAACCAACAACTAAAAATGAGACTTGTCACTGGTGCTTTGCATGCTAGTCAAGTTACCTCAGATCTACCTCACACTGGGGAGCTGGTGGACTGACCAACTCAGCTACCACCCACACCCAGATCCAGGGCTTTGAGTTGGCTCACTCCAACATCTACCCCATGTACAGCCTGCTAGAGCATGTGAAGGGGCCGGTCTTGCAGAATCAAAGCTGTAAGATCTCCACTACACAGGGCAACATCAGGATATCCAGGAGGAAACCCAGTGAGGATCCAGTATTGACGGTGTAACAGAAGCCAGAGGCAGACCAATCACTCCCTACAATGATCATTTGCAAGAAAAACTGTCCAGCCCCCCAAAACACAGTTTTTTAAGCTTATTCCTGGAGAAATAGAATATATTTTTAAAAGAATGCATTTTTCTAAAATCGTTTTATGTTTGGGTGACATATGTGACATAGGCTGGCCTTAAGCACTGTGAGGAGGAGGAGGGGGATCTCCACAGCTTTCATGGTGAGATTTTTTTTTCTTTTGGGGAGAAGGCTGAAAGGGTGGAGGGCAGAGATGGAGGGGTGAGGAGATGGAGTGGGATTGGGGTACATGAAGTGAAATTCACAAAGGATCAATAAGAAATTAAAAATAACAAGGTGGGTGATGCCTGAAAAACAACATCCAGGACTGACCTTTGTCCTCTCCATGCATGCACACCTGCACACACATTTGCATGCACACCTGCACACACACTTACCTGCATGCACACCTGCACACACACCTGCATGCACACCTGCACACACACATGCATACCTGCACACACCTGCATGCATACCTGCACACACACCTGCACACAGCATAAATCCAACTGTAGGATCTATACCAAATCAGAATATGAAAAGCTTGAAAGAGTAAATGAGCTGAAGAAAATAGACCCAAAGAAAATATTAAGATAAAGCTGGCAGGGGGCTGGAGAGATGGCTCAGTGGTTAAGAGCACTGACTGCACTTCCAGAGGTCCTGAGTTCAAATCCCAGCAACCATATGGTGGCTCACAACCATCTGTAATGAGATCTGATGCCCTCTTCTGGTGTGTCTGAAGACAGCTACAGTGTATTCATATATAATAAATAAATCTTAAAAAAAAAAGATAAAGCTGGCAGAGTGATAGTGGCACACACCTTTAATTTCAGCATTTGGGAGGCAGAGGCAAGTGGATCTCTGCAAGTTCAAGACCAGCCTAATCTATAAAGTGAGTTCAATGACAGCCAGGGTTACACACAGAGAAACTCTGTCTGGAAAAATAAAAACAAACCAAAACAAAAAGATAAAGCTGATATAGAAATACTAAAATCAGCTGGGCGGTGGTGGCGCACACCTTTAATCCCAGCACTTGGGAGGCAGAGGCAGGCAGATTTCTGAGTTCGAGGCCAGCCTGGTCTACAGAGTGAGTTTCAGGACAGCCAGGGCTATACAGAGAAACCCTGTCTTGAAAAACCAAAAAAAGAAAAGAAAGAAAAAAATTAAAATCCTTCTTTTAATACCTATGGTTGGATCGGCAAGATAATTTGGTGAATGAAAGCACTTACAGGCAAGCCTGACAGCCTGAGGTAGACGGAGAGGAGAAATGACTCCCTTAAGTTGTCCTCTGACCTCCACGTGTGTGCTGTGTCATATACATGCTCCCCACTCATCCACACACATGAATTTTAATAAGAACAATATTTCTTATATGTATATGGCTGGTTTTTGTTTTGTTGTTTTGTTTTTTGAGACAGGATCTCTTTGTATATAGGCCTGGCTGTCCTGGAATTCACTTTGTAGACCAGGCTAGCCTCAAACTCAGAAATCCACCTGCCTCTGCCATCCAAGTACCACCACTGCCTAGCCATATATGGGTGTTTTGTCTGCAAACTTGTGCACACATGCATGCCTGGTGCCCTAGGAAGCCAGAAGGTGGTATTAGATCCCCCAGGACTAGAGTTATAGATAGCTTTAAAAAAAATATTTGTTTATTTAGTGTCTGCCTGCATGTATGCCTGCAACCCAGAAAAGGGCATCAGATCTCATTATAGATAATTATGAGTCCCCATGTGGTTGCTGGGAATTGAACTCAGGACTTCTGTTTGGTTTTTGTTTGTTTGTTTTTGTTTTTTGAGACAGAGTTTCTCTGTATAGCCATGGCTGTCCTAGAACTCACTCTGTAGACCAGGCTGGCCTCGAACTCAGAAATCCACCTGCTCTGCCTCCCAAGTGCTGGGATTAAAGGCGTGTGCCACCACCACCCGGCAAACTCAGGACTTCTGGAAGAGCAGCCAGCTCTCTTAACCTCTGAGCCATCTTCCCAGACCCCAAAACAGGCCTTTAAGCTTATTCCTGGAGAACTAGAATACATTTTTAAAACAATAATACATTTTTATAAAACTCTTTATGTTTAGGTGATACATATGACCACAAGCTGGCCTTAAGCACTGTGGGGAGAAGGAGGCATCTCTTCAGAACATCCTATCCCTTGCCCCAGAGATTTAGATAAACAGATGTAGGTGTTTGGGGATTTGAACTTCAGTCTTCTTACTTGCATGGCAAGTACTTTACTCACTGAGCCATCGTCCTCACTCAGTTTCTTGGGCTTCTGTGGTCGGTGTAGAGCCCAGCAGGCTCTAGGTGCGTTGAGAACAGCCAGGATTTGTTGAGAACAGAACTTAACCCAGGCTCACAAAGCTCAAGGGTTCAGCACCAAGGACAGCTCCCTTTGCTTATTGGAAACTGGGTGCTCTGGGAGGCGAGCACTGGGCTAATCCTAGAGCCCACTAGTCCGGCCTCCCAAGTTTTACATCAAATAAAACCTAGGAAGACAGAGAAATAGTTCAACGAAGATTACACGGCAAGTTAGCTGAGAGTTGGAGGCGGGGCTCTAAGTCTACACTTTGAACCTCTTAAAGGCTCTCAGACACCTGGTCCTATGACACAGTAACCCAGCCAGAGGTTGAACCAAGGACTCCCAAATTAAAATTGGATGCTCTTGGGAATAAAAAGGAGACAGATTTTGTAAATTTTGTAAAATTTATTTTATGTATAAGGGTATTTTGCCTTTATTTGTCTGTGTACCATGTGTGTGAGGTGTCCGTGGAAGTCAGAAGGCATTGAATCTCCTGCAACTGGAGTTAGACGGCTGTGAGCTGCCTTGTGCATGATGGCAACTGAATCTGGGTTCTCTGGAAAAGCAGCCAGCACTCTTAACATTTGAAACATTTCTTCAGCCCCATAGTGCATACGCTTAGCCACAGAGACATCTCTTTAGTCCCCATGCATAGAATTTAAAGGACCAAAAAAGACAAGTGCCTGATGCAAAGAAAAGTGGGGACTTGGGACAGGAAAGGGGAGTACCCCCAGCATGCAAGAACTGAGAAACAAGAGCAGGTAGGACAGGCTGGAGGAACCTACAGATTTGAAGAGGTCTTTCAACTAAGGGGAAGTGCAGAAATGGCTCTTCAGAAGACTGAGAGGTTGTATAGTTAGACTGAGCTAGCATGGAAGGGTTTTGAGGACCACCAGAATGCAGGTAAAGGCAGATATCTGTGAATTCCAGACAGGCCAATTTATGCCTCACAGATACAGCTCTGACTGAACATAAGAGGAAACTCCCAGGTTCTGTGGGCAGAAGCAAAGGGAGATCACTCCCTGGTCTAAACTCAGAATTAGGATCCAAGGTCTGGTGCTGGACTTTTTACAAGGCAGAACTGGGGCCATGTAGAAGTGAAAGGTGTTAGGGCTGATGAAGCTTTGTACATTGA